GCCATCTACCCATCTACAAAAAAAGACCTTGAGGCGACCGAAGCAGACGCCATCTACCCATCTACAAAAAAGACCTTGAGGCGACCGAAGCAGACGCCATCTACCCATCTACAAAAAAGACCTTGAGGCGACCGAAGCAGACGCCATCTACCGAAGTTCAGCACATTGTCGTTCGACCCAGTCGAATCGTGGCTTTTAAAAAACCGCCAATCGATGGTTTCAAGTCCTTCCGACCATCCTGAGCCACCCCAAGGTTTTGCACGTGGTTTTGCTTGGTGTTTCTTTTAAAATAGTTCTTAAACTAAACCGCCGAGCCGCCGAATACAATATATAATATGTTGCATACCGGGGTGTCAGGATTTTGTACGTCCATGGTGTGATTTCACAGGCAAGTACTTTGTATGGCTAAGAGTTTGCTTTTACCAACCCAGAAACTTGCTTGAAGAAGACGGCCAGCTAGCTGATTGAGTGTTGGAAGCAAAGATTCTGCTGGCTCGTCTTCAGCAGGTCGAGGTGACTGCCCAAAAATGTGGACATCTTCCCTCAAGGCTATCTCAACATTTGAGATGAAAAACCCAATGTCAATGCGGGGTGGAGTGCATCAGGAGCTTGAGCCAACATGTGAGGCAAGCATCTGTGAGAGCAGATGCCAAGTCAGTCCACACCCATGAGGGTGAGGCGAAAAGCATGGTTCTGCACCGCACCAACATATGGACACTGAAGAGTGACAGGGCCTTAGGGTCTATTGTGGCATTTACGAACCTTTGAACCCGGAAACATGGAAACATATAAACTTGAACAAAAACCTTAGATTCCTGGATACTATTCCCAAGGTAATCTCCCTTGTTCACATGATCCCACTTAGTTCGTGGCCCACACCACAAAATCCAGTCAAACTATACTCCACACCCACTTCGTAGGTGGGATATGTGGGGTTGCACTCGCATCCGCCTGTGCATCAGGAGGGAGCCTCACTGTGGACCTGAGCATGGCCAGTGTTGGCTCGACGAGCTGGCAGGTAGCTCGTGGGTCCAACTTGGTACGTTGATGTGTATTCAACTGCAGAGAATCGACAAGAAACAAAGATTAAAAGCTTGAAAGGTCCAGCTGTACTTGGATTTAAGTGAGGGTCTCGCAAGGTATCGCTGACTTCAGCAAATTGCCTCCAGCGTTGCCTGGACTGTCCGATGACCATGTTGTGTCAACAATAATCCCCTCAAGCTATTCACACAAACATGAAGAAATCCAGAAAAAGTTAGCACTTATACTTGTTCCAAGTTGTCACTTATCAGCATTGCCACTGGTGTTTTTTGAACCTCCACCGCCTCCCGGGTTCCCCTTCCGCCACGGCACATCTCCTGCAAGAGATCCAGCGCCTGGACTTCGGTGTTCACGCACCAGGAGACGGATCCGCTTTCGGTCTGCTTTCGGGGGCTCCCAGGGGCAGGTGGGTCGCTCTTTTTGCGGGAATCGGATCACCCAGGTGACCTGGAAATGAAATAAAGTTTCGAAGAAAACAGTGAAAAAGGGCAACTGTTTTACTTCAAGCAGCTGTACGGTCTGGCCGGTAGCCTAGGTGGAAAAAGGCTTTAAAGAAATAACTTTTGGTTGCCCATGTTGCACTGGGAGCCTCCGGGCAGGCATTCTCAGCTGCGCCTCCTCCCATCCGCTGTTCTTGCTGAAGGCTTGTAGAGCTGCACCGTAGCTCACCCGAGTAAACCTCAGCCATGTGGATTAATTAAAACATGATCTTAAAAAAGGGAACAAATAAAAAACAATCAAGTCAAGTCCAGCAAATTTGGATGGAGAGGTGATGAGACATGAAAAATCCTTCGCTTAAAAGCTGCCGAGGCAACATTACTCGCTGTCTCATTTCGAGGAGCAGCTCCTGCGAGAAGAGAGCTGGAGCTGCTTGGAGCAAGCGTGGTAAACCGTTCGGTATTTAGAACATGTGGAACATGATCCGCAGTGGCTTCTTCTGCAAGGAATTCTGTCTGGAGGTGTACATCGAAATCATCGACACGGACCCCAACAGATAAGTTTTGTAGACAAAGCCCCGAGATGGATCCAGTTTGCTAAGTCTGCTAGAGAACTTCACTTGGACACCTGCAATCCATGGAAAGTCAACCCCGAAAGATGATACACTCCGACGAAACACTGGTCGTGAAACACATGCCCAGACCATGGATCTTTGGAAGTGTTCAGTCGGAGTGTTCAGACCATCTTCTTGGCACTTAGTTGACTTGTCGTGGTTTGAGGTGTTCAATCTGTTCAGCATCCTTCCAGCTGAGGGTGCATCGCCGACCACTCTCAGGACGCAGCCAGGGCGACGCAAAACCCCTGGGGCCTTCACCGCTAAGCGAGCAGCCAGTGCATCACGGGCATTGGACGCAGGCATGGTGGCCAAGGCCTTGCTGTTTACGACATCTCACATGAAATCTGGTTGGAGGAAGCCAGTTTTTTCCAAAAAAAGACCTCTGAATCGTGAGGTTGTGGGAAGCACCTAAGGTGGTGCAGGTTCCTTCAGCATCCAACAACATGGCGAAAGGCTAGCAGGGGTCCTTGAAAGATCGTTCTTCCAAATAGAAGGGGTGTCTGCTAAACCTTGTTCAAGGGGTAACATCATCAATGATGTTTCTCACCGCCAACCCTGTGGTCTCTAAAACGAACCTCCCCTGTGGCGGTCACCAACCCTGTGTTCTCAACACGCATAAGGGAGGCTCAGCGGCTCACCCACTGCAGCAGAGTGGCTGAGATGCAAGCATTGTAGATCTTCACATTGAAGCGACCGGAATCTGTGCCGCCGGTGACCGGACGTTTCACAGTCACCGGTGACTGGACGTTTCGGTCGGACGTGACGTTTCGGTCGAAACGGTGGAGCTCCAGCCTCGGACCGGTGCCACGGGGGTTTGACTCGAAATGGGTCTCCAATGGTTTCCAAGAAATGGTTTGACTCATCATTTTACTGTACCCAAAAAAATTATTGATTGACCTTCAATCAGCAGGGATCTGTGGGTATCCCGAGGTCAACTTCAAGCCCAAGATGACCCAAGTAAGCCTGCTATGCGCAAATGGAGTTGCAAGGATTCACACGAAGAAGGCATTTGTGCCCTTGAAGCTTTGACCTTTGGGGAGTCCAATCCCGGAAAAAGAACTGAAGACCTCAACGAATGGTACATACAGTACAGTTGAGGTGTTTCGAACCGATCTGTTCGATCTCAGTTCTCTCCCTTTGGGGATCCTGTCTTGGGATCTGGATCGTGGCGACTGAAGAAAGCATGGCACCAGGCACCAGCAGCCAAAAGTCAGAAATCAACAAGCGATGAGGTCAGTGAGAGAGTTTTTCAGTTGTTACGTTCGTAGCGTCCTTTGTTCCTAGTAGCAATGCCAGGAGCGCCCCGTTCGTAGCGTCCTTGCTCCGTTCGTAGCGATGCCCTTTGTTTCTCTGACTGTGTTCTTTTCTTTCCCTGAAAAGACTCTCTCACTTTTGCTCTTTGTCCCAGGGTCCCCATTTGGGAAGTCTCATCGGACGGTTGACAAAACGAAGAATGCAGTTCTTTTCACCGAACAGTTCTGTGTTCGGGGGAGAATCACCCAGTTTCGGTGCTGAGACGGCTGGACAAAGGAAACACCGTGCTGAGAAGATCA